TGGAGGATCAGCAGCAAGAAGGATGATCGACGCACAACCAAAGAAAAGGATAGATAGAATTTTTGATGAGTGTGAATTTCGAACCTTTCGGTCCAAGTCTGAGATCAGCAGAGTCTGAGATCAGCATGTAGAGCTTCTTTCTCTCACTGACGAACCAGCCTTGACCCACTCAGGTGTGTTCATGTCCGAAGCCACGAGTGTGCGAGGCCGCAAGGGTGGTGTAGGGTGGGTCACCCGTGACCTGAGCCATAGAAGCAGTGAGGAGCCCGACCGTTCGTACCAACCTTCAGGCGAGCTGTGAGTGGAAAACGCACGCGGCTGTGCGAGGGAAGGAGGATCTTTTGTTGCTACCTTTGTGTCAATCACAGATTATGTATATATATATATATATCAGGGGTAGGGAGGTTTACTTGCATTATAGCCTGGGCCTGGGGGTAAGTATATGGTTTGTTTCATGTTTGCTGGTTGCTGCGTGCCACAATTATGCCAAGTGTGTTGTGCAAAGACATGTGGCAATCAGGCCCTTTAGTGGTTTCGTTCTTATTTTGACCTTACCCCGTGGGTTACAATTATTTGTGCCAACGTCACGTTGTTGGTTTTGTGATGCACTTGGTTGACCTCATTGTAGATTCTGCACTTTTTTCAGTAGAGAATCGAAACAGGGTTCTTATCCTGTGGGCCTGCAAGGTGGACCCCCACCTCTTCAATGTTGTTTTTGGTAACTTGGCCATTCATTCAGAATCCATGCGCTGAAGCTTTTTGGCACATTGAGTCATTGGAAATTTCGCCATTTGAGGTGAGAGCGTTCTCAACGATGCGGTTTCCATTGTACTTTTCCATTCCTTTTCCAAAGCGATTGGAGCGGAAGAGAAGAATGTCCTCGTAAGCATATGTGGCACCTCAGGTTTCAACCACCCCACACACACCTTACATATTTATAATTACATTATTTACACCGTACACTTGTATTATTTTGCATTCTTTACACAATACACTTGAGTGAGTGATTGTTGGCTGATTTTGTTATTTTATGTTGGTTTGTTTCTTCAGTGCTTCAGAGATTGCTTAGTGTGCTGCAAGTAGCATCCTACAAAATGGGCCTTTGGAGTGTTCAGCAACTAGCTCGCAGTGTTTCTCATGTGTCCCCTAGGTCCCTTGTACGCTGATCCTCGAGTAGATGCCGCGGGCATCAGCATAGGTGTTTCAGTAATTCAAGCACCTGTTCTGACCACTTCGGTTCATTATGCCATCCGCGAGACAAAGGAATGACAATGGACTTTGTTGTAATTTTCGTCGGCTCTGCTATCATTGGCGCTTCCCTGGGCTGCCTTTCAGCTCTACTCTTCAAGTTAGAGGCTCAGGCTCGAGGACAAATGGCATGTGATCATGTGACTAGTTTGTTTGGTGTAATCTCAAAACAACGTCTTCGATGTATGTTGGGCCTGCGCAGTAAGGCACGTTGATCTTCCAGGCCACACTGCTGCACACGGCCCAAAGTTGGAATTGGCGGTGTTTCTCGATCCTCCACCTGCAAAAGTGCTTTTCTTTCTCAGTAACAAGAAGCTATTAGAAACAAGTGCATGATTCCAAGTGATTCCAAGGCTTGTGTTCCTAGGTCTTTTGTTATGCACCATTCTTGCTGGCGGATGGTGCTGGTCTTAGTGGAATTGTGGCCATCCTCTTCACGGGCATCACCATGAAGAGGCACCGTGGTTTGGAGACCTCAGGCATGTTGTGCCATGTTGTGCCTAGAATGTTTCCAGAATTGGATGCGCTTTGATGTTTTTCCCCGATCTTTGCGCGCAGGTATACTTTCAACAATTTATCCCCAGATGCAAGAGAAACCGTCCAGACAATCGTGTCATTGATGGCGAGTTGCGCTGAGACTGGGCCTTAGGAAGTTTGTGTTGATTTGAAGCTAATTGAAGTCGATTTTTTCAGCGCTATATAAAAATTATCCCGGCAAGAAAAGGCCCCAAACAGTGTCAAGTCGAACGCGACAAGGGTGACTAGGCGAACTTCACACTTTAATTCCAGACTAGCAAGCACATGGGAGCAGACAAATAAGAGCACACATAATACACATATGAGAGGTTCACATTGCCACGATGATATGACATTTAGGCGTTCCACGACAGAATCTGCGTGTCATGATCATCTCGCCCTGCCAGCACGTTTCGCAACAAACGCACCTCTAAATAACAGACTCAAGATGCCAGAGCATGTCCAAAGTTCATGTTTCACTGCGCCTACCAGAAATCAGAACACACCAAGCTTGCCATGAAATCTGAACATCGAAGCAAAACGGCTCCGATCTTGTGCCTGTGCTCCGAAAAAAGACCGCCAAGACCGAAAATGCGCACGGCGCCACAATGAGATGGCATCGAGTTGGCCAAGCACGCCAGTGAGCAGAACCATTACCGTAAGAAACCCTGGTGTGTCCACACTGCTTGGGGAATACATAGCATATCACGTGAGCAAAATCGCTGTTTGGTTTGACGGCACGCGCTCCCCTCTCATCGATTTGAATGGGAACGTGCCGTGTCTTGGTGCAAAATGAGCTAGCCTTACCCCAAGCCCTTCTCAGTTCTTATTTCCCCACATCTTAGTGTGGGGTTCTTCTTTTCTATGTCTCATCCGCCTCCCGCCGCCCGCTTCCCGCCGCCTCCCTCCACACCGAGACAACAACACACACAGAGACAACACACGTCACACACACAGAGATCACACACACCGAGACAACACACACAGAGATCATCCTCCCTCCACACCGAGACAACACGTACAGAGACCACACACCGAGACAACACACACAGAGACAACACACACACCGAGACGACACAGACAGAGATCACACACTCTGACATTGGTTTTCAGTTAGCTCAATTCCCAGGTCAAAAATGGCGAAGGAACGGCAGGGTGAAAGGTCCGAAAAGTTGAAGGTGTTTGAACAAAGGCTGTTTCTCAAGTCTGCAGAAAGTCGGCGGCGGCGAAAACGAGCGGCGCAGCTGACGGCGGCAAACGAAAAAAAAGTGTAAGGGGTAGGTATCATGAAGGACCATGAATCAAACTGATCAAATTGGACAGCGTGTTCAACAGTTGTAGCAGGTACGTTTGCAGCCCCCCCCAGTGGCCTCTTCGTTGGCCATCCGCCACTGGGGAGGGGGACGGTAACGGTGGCAGTGAACCCTCTGGCACAGGGGGTGACACACTTGAGAAGGTTGCTCCGTGGAGCGTGATTTCAGGTAGCTTCGCGGTGTGCATTAGCCCTTTAGGTGAATACTTAGCCCTTGACTTGATTCAACGGAAAGAGGTGCAAAGTCCGCTCAATTGAATGTTTCAACAAAATGCATTAGCTCTTTAGAATATGTTAAACAATTGGTGCAGGTACAGGAAACTGGCCAAGTTTCCCTTCCCACTCTTATCCACAGCTTCGTTGCGTGTGATAGGATAAGAGTGTCACACGCCCCTGCTTCTGTACAGAAACGCTTGTAGGGTAGATTAGAGAAACTAGGGTAGTGTCCTTGGAAACAGGAGTGGACACACACACTGAGCCGTATCGGCGCAACTAGATCGGATAAAGTCTGGATATTAAATAGTGGAAGAGCTTGACATTGAAAGGTTCAATACTGTAAAATACATATCACAGCAGTCTGCGAAAGTGCCGGCACATAGTCTTTTTCCTCCTGGCCGCAGCGCCGCGGCGCAGTGTGCTGGTGAATGGCCTTTGGCCATATATAGCTGCATCAATTGCTGTGCGGTCGTGTGGGCGAGATGTTTGGGGTAAGTGTATTTTTGTAGTGTGTGGTGGCGTGATTGTAAGCCTGAAAGGCGTAGTCTGTGACTCCCTGCGGACTGCGGATCACGAATCTGCCAGGAATGGGTGGGGAGTTGGAAGGTGACGGTTCTGTTGAGAGGGTCAATCAAGAAACCGAGTAGATGGTCGTCGTCCACTGGCTCTATTTCGACTGGTTGTTCGTAAAATTCAGGATGGGCCAATGTAGTGATGGGGAGTGCTGATCTGTATTGTTCGTTGAGCAAGATGTATCGGTTGTCGACGTAGCGAGTGTTGAGCAAGTGAAGGCTTGGTTGTTGTAAGAAGGTGTGGTATGTGGTTCGCCAAGTGTGTTCGATGAGCGTGATTGCCACATTGCAAAGTGCTGGTGAGAGTTGACTGCCAATGCCGGCTCCTTGAATTTGTTTGTAGTAAGTGTTGCAAGCTTGGAAAATGCATGAGTGAAGAGCTTGTTGAACGATAAGGGGAATGTGTTGTGTGTCAAGTGTGCGTTGTTGTGGGTGGTGGATGTAGTGTCGACCGATGTGTGAGTGTTGGATGGGGTTGCCAGTAGATTGGACATCGATGGTGATGGTAGTGGTGTTGTGTTGTGCTTTCCAGCGATTGCACAGGCTGATCACTGCGTCGACAAGGCGTTGTTGAGGTACACTGTTGAAGAAGCCGACAAGGTCGTCGTTGATCGGTGTGAGGTGGATATCTTCGGGTGTGATCTGGAAATGGTTGTGGAGGTGTTGCCAAAGGTTGGGTATAGATAATTGGCCTGGATGTTGGGGTAGAAGCTGAAGGAGCATAATGTCAAGTGCTTTGGAGGTGGCTCGTAATAATGTGCCTGCGATGGATCTGAAGTAGCTGCTGACTGTTCTACCCTTTCGCCAGGATTTCTTTTGTTTGAGGAAGACTACTCCATGTGGTGTGTAGAATTTGGTGCGGAAGCCCCAGGGGTATGCTTTGCGAATGCTGGCTGGAAAAGATTGTGTGAGAACTTGGTGGAGTTGTTGGGCGGTGAGATCTGGTAGTGGAAGAAAAAGTTGTGGTGAATTCCATGTGGTGAGACATCCGTGGAAGTAGTGCTGTGGGCAAAAGAGTCGTAGGTTTTGTAGTTCATGGTCAGCATGATGGAGTACCAGCTTGTCTGTAAGAAACTGTTGGAGCTGTGTAACGTTGCGGGAGGTAAAGCGGGGCGTGTGTAAAAGATTGTCGATGTGCTGTTTCCATTGTTGGTGTAGAAAAGGTAGGCTGTGTTGATGGAGGGCAGTGGGTAGACCATGGTGTCTTAGCCAGTGAGTGAGTTGTTGTTCAAAATGTTGGAAATATTGCGTCTTTGTGGGAAAGAAAGTGCTGTTCATGTTGGCTTGTATGAAAAGCTCAAGATGGCTGGGGAGCTGTAGGTCTTCAAGTGTAAGTACGTAGTGACCATCGTAGAGCGGCGGTGTGTGGTTGGGACGAAGCAAGGTGTGGATGTGGTGGCAGCTGCATGGCATGTCTGCGGCTGTGGGATGTGTGGAGAAGAGTTCTTCCCAACGTTTGTGGTTGTAGAGCCGGGAACGCAAAGTCTTGTGTGCTGCTTCGCGTAATTTGGTGGTAGGAGGGTGGAATGGAATGACGTGATGCATGTGGTGTTGGATCAGTGTGCGAAGCCATTTTT